GGGTTGAGGTAATCAATCAGTAATGAGGTATATATGAATTGAATTATATTAAAAAACTCTAAAATATGTATTTTGTGTTGTTGCTTCTTGAAAAACCTCTGGGAAATTATCCTTCAAAATACATTACACTGCTTCTTTAAATATGGATATATATATATATATATATATATATGTGTTGTTACTCCTGGTAGACAACGAGATGTTCTGATGTGTTTACATGAGAATGGTAGCATTACTGTACGAGTACGCAGAAGAGCAGGCAGCATTGGTGGATTAAATAGTGCTGCTACCACACCTGTCGATCAGATTGGAAACTTTGGTAACTCCATTGGTAAGACTCTTGTATTATAGTCTATTTTAAATCACCACTATCAGAATTAGAGTTTGTTATGACGCCATAGCTTGACATTATCACACGAAAATGTAAACTGATATTTGTAAGTAAGTTCATTTAAAAAAAAAACCCTGTATTTAACTAAATTTGTTTAATTCTGATGCTGATAATTGATACATGTAACAACAATAATGAATTCCCCCCCCCCCCCTCCCTACAGCACCATATTGGATTAAGAGGAGGCTCTACACGTGATAATGCACTGACTTTGTTCTTTGCATTATCTTCGTCATAGACCCTTCTTCTCATTCATTATGGTGCTTTGGGAGATTCATTATTGTTTAAATGTGTTGAACCAGTTTATCAGTTCAAAATAATTTTCAATTAAATAGGAAACACTGATGTTATTGGTTGCTGAACATTATGATCATGTTGACATCACTAAAAGTACTTCATGGCAAATAAAACAGATTTGCCAACTTTGTTTGTACATGTGAATGTTAACTGAATTGAATAAATATAAATACCGGTAATTAAATGAATGATTTGTAGGTCTGCTGTCATCATGTTCTACGTCAATTTTTCTTCCAAATGACTTCCACTTGACTTCTTTTGATTATTAATTAGATTTGAATATTTCATGACAATATCTTAGTGAATTTGTCATTATTGGTACAAAATGCTTTTTCTTGATAGCTACTAGTTGTTTGATTTGACACTTGGTATATATGTACATGTACCTTAGGAGGATCTCCATTACTAGTAGTATAGTATATATATATATATAGGTATAAATTGATGTGAATATGATAAATAAAAACTGTGAAAGCAATAAATGAAAACTATGAATGTGATAAATGGGTGGCACAAGTATGTTAAGTGGAAGACGTGAATGCGATAAATGTGCTGGATTGCTAAAAAAATTCATGTTATTTATTTCTAGGTGATAGTTCTTCGGCCACATCTATTAGTGAAAACCAGCATGATGTCATCTATGATGTCCGATGTCAATCTGATCACCTACGTGTCACAAAACATGTCAGACCATTTGGCATCTATGCCTGTCCATGCTCCGAGCGACAGGTGGCATTGATCATGAACGATGGTCGTGTACTGATATGGACGTTAAAAACAACTGAGCATACCCCGGTCCCGACTAACAATCATGCTGCATCCCTATCTCCACTTCACTCACCTGGTTACTCCAGCTCCAATGGAAGTTTTGAGTTTGTGCCTGCTGTGAAAGATGATGCTCAACCACAAATGGAAGTGAGAACCGAGAAATCTTCTCAGGCACTCCCATATCCCAAGATCTGTCTGAATGACCTGATTGGACAGGTACAAAGTCTTGGTGGTGACCAGCTACAAACTGGCAAAGGAGTTGTTTTGAAGTTTGTTCTTGTTGGGCTGTTGAATGGTGTGGTTGCACCCCCTACTGTAATAAGAATGTGTCCACCATTAACTACAAAAAATTACAACACTTACCAGCCATTGGTGGCTTTAGGTAAGTATATTCAGTATGGCTGGCATTATTTAGCTTTCATACATTAGTAGATTCCTGATTCATTGCATAATAACAAAAAAGTAGATTCCTGATTCATTGCATAATGACAAAGAAATAGATTCCTGATTCATTGCATAATAACAAAGAAGTAGATTCCTGATTCATTGCATAATAACAAAGAAGTAGATTCCTGATTCATTGCATAATAACAAAGAAGTAGATTCTTGATTCATTGCATAATAACAAAAAAGTAGATTCTTGATTCATTGCATAATAACAAAAAAGTAGATTCCTGATTCATTGCATAATAACAAAGAAATAGATTCCTGATTCATTGCATAATAACAAAGAAGTAGATTCCTGATTCATTGCATAATAACAAAGAAGTAGATTCCTGATTCATTGCATAATAACAAAGAAGTAGATTCTTGATTCATTGCATAATAACAAAAAAGTAGATTCCTGATTCATTGCATAATAACAAAGAAGTAGTTTCCTGATTCATTGCATAATAACAAAGAAATAGATTCCTGATTCATTGCATAATAACAAAGAAGTAGATTCCGGATTCATTGCATAAAAACAAAGAAGTAGATTCCTGATTCATAGCATAATAACAAAAAAGTAGATTCCTGATTCATTACATAATAACAAAAAAGTAGATTCCTGATTCATTGCATAATAACAAAGAAAAAGATTCCTGATTCATTGCATAATAACAAAGAAGTAGATTCCGGATTCATTGCATAAAAACAAAGAAGTAGATTCCTGATTCATAGCATAATAACAAAAAAGTAGATTCCTGATTCATTACATAATAACAAAAAAGTAGATTCCTGATTCATTGCATAATAACAAAGAAGTAGATTCCTGATTCATTGCACAATAACAAAGAAATAGATTCCTGATTCATTGCATAATAACAAAGAAGTAGATTCCTGATTCATTGCATAATAACAAAGAAATAGATTCCTGATTCATTGCATAATAACAAAGAAATAGATTCCTGATTCATTGCATAATAACAAAGAAGTAGATTCCTGAATCATTGCATAGTAACAAAGAAGTAGATTCCTGATTCATGCATAATAACAAAGAAGTAGATTCCTGATTCATTGCATAATAACAAAAAAGTTGAAATTAGCTTTTCTCAATGTGATTATATTAAAAGCTGTATATATGCAAAATTGATGTATTACAAATTGAGAATGTGCCTTGAAGTTCCCTGTCATGACAATTGGCAGTACCACACATGTACCACCCACATGTAAGACTAGAGCAAGATAAAGTAAGAGATTTTATTTTGTCTAGGGACTTCATCTGGTCTAGTGCAAATATTTAATCTTTCAAGTGGTCTGCTGTGGAGAGAGTACAATATCCATATAGCACCAATAAGAGGGATTGAATGGGTCAATCTCAACAGCTTCCTGTCATACTCCTTCGCCAACCCCGGTAATAGTGGTTTGGTACGGAATGAGCTGATCTTGACTGATATGCTGACGGGGCGTACCACTTTATTTAGGGGTGAGAAGAGTAATGATGAGTCTCCTGTGGAGATGTTGAAAGTGTCTCACTTGAAGTAAGTTTTTTAAACTTTGCACTTGGTGTAAATGACATACACGATTCCCCTTCGTTATTTGGGGATTTTAATCATAATTGTCCAATGGTGACTGATCCCTGTTACATTTGAATCAGTTAACATACTTGTAATGACACAATACACATTTTTCTCTCAGACAGGGCACATGTCTCCCAATGCAATTCTGAAATGCACCCTTGTGATGTTTATTTATGTTCATACATTTTCAGACAGTATTTCATCTTGGTGTTCAAAGAAAAACCATTTGAGTTGTGGGACTTGCGTACTGGTACCCTGCTGCGTGAGATGCCAAAGAATTTCCCGATGATAACGGCACTGGTGAGTCAAATACATATTTTGGATTGGTGTTAAGATATAAATGTTTGCAAGGTTTGTATGAATGCTGTAGTAGTACATTGTTGCTAGTGGGTGGCATAAAATAATATTGCAAAGTAGTCTATGTTTTATTCTCAAATCACACAAGTTGGTATCATACTTGTATGTCTTTATAATAAACTGGATGGATCAAGGCTATAGATCTTCATAATATTAAATAACCTGTTTGGATAAAAAAATATGTGTTTTCTTAAAGTGCAGCAGTCGTCGCACAGCACGTGTTCAAATAATGTATTTTACACGCGTTACCATACTCGACCACGTTAGCGCCCAGGGGCCTCAACTCAGAAAATCACGATTTTTTAGGGGTGGGCACTTACCCAAGCACCCCCCTCGAAAAAGAGTGCAAATGAAAATTTTTATTCATCAAGTGTCAGATTACGTCTTTGAGGGAAAATCAAATTACTAAATTAGTTGCGTCGTCATTGATTTTCACAATGAAGAAACAGAAATGATCACAAAAAATACGCACATTTTATTACATATTAATTACGTACCACCATAATTTACGAAATTAAAAACATTTGAGTCTGTTGGAACACAGTCGAAGTCAAAATTGTCATATTATTTCCACTGACGAAGTTGTTGGATCGTACGCAAACTCTTGATGAAAATCACTTTCCGCCATGATGCATTTGCAGATTTGACCCAACAGCAGCGTCCTTTGACCTAATGGGTCAAGTTGGTTATTAACTAATCAGAATGCTGTGTTTTGACTGACGAAATTCTTCGGAAATTCCCGAAGACTTTCGATAACGCAATGCGGAAGTGAATTATCGATGTCGAAGTACGATCTGTTGGAATTGATTTCAGCGAATAAACGACATGGTTTTCCAAAAAAACTAGTAACTAGCCATTTTTGAGAGGTAAACTGAATATGGCATGAAATATTTATCGCATTTTACTTGTATTAACAGGTCATTGTCGAAGCGTAGTTTACGCACGGTTACGTATCTACGCATTCACAACATGTTCACAGCGATCGATATCCACGCTGTATCATATAAAAACGATTACCAAGATTCGTTACGCAAGACCAAGTTTTAAATTAGTTGCATTTTGAAGGGGTGGGCGCTTTGCCGAATGTGACCCCAAATATACCAAAATCGCAAAAGTGGGGGGTGGGCGCTTGCCCAGGCATGGGCGCTAACGCGGTCGAGTATGGTATATACGTCGCAAAAACATTAATTGATTTTCTTATTTTATGTTATGTTGTAATATTCAAATTTAGGAATGGTCTCCATCGAGTAATCTTAGGAGTTTAAAGAAAAGACAAGCTCAAGAGAATGCGTCTACAACTAGTATTCCTGTACAATCATCTGATAGTGCTACTTCAACTAGTTCTCTGTCACTGCTCGGTAATGAAAATCAACTGTCATCTGATGTGCATGTGTAGCTCAATAGTTTTTGTGCCTGCCGAGCATTAGGGACAATTAGCATTTTGGTAAAAAAAATTAATGTTCAGTTGGAAGAATGTCTACTGACAACCTAGTCTCACCCAGTGGTGTGGTACTCTTGTAGGAAAGAAAATCACATTGACTTGTTTTGAGGAGGAAAAATCTATGCGCCACTTATGATTTGTGTGAATGTGTAAGATGGATCTATATTTATCTGGGCTAGTGAAAGCACCCTTGATTTCATGAATTTTTGGCATTTTTAGTCTTTATTAAAATGTTAAATTCTGGGTAACAAGACTCATGAGTATTCAGATTCACTCATAAATATTCAGATCTACTCATAAATATACAGAGACACTCATGAATATTTAGAGTCAGTCATGAGTATTCAGATTCACTCATAAATATTCAGATTCACTCATAAATATTCAGATCCACTCATGAACATTCAGATTCACTCAAAAATATTCAGATCCACTCATGAATATTCAGATCCACTCATAAATATTCAGATCCACTCATGAATATTTAGAGTCAGTCATGAGTATTCAGATCCACTCATGAATATTCAGATTCACTCAAAAATATTCAGATCCACTCAAAAATATTCAGATCCACTCATGAATATTCAGATCCACTCATGAATATTCAGATTCACTCAAAAATATTCAGATCCACTCATGAATATCCAGATTCACTCATAAATATTCAGATCCACTCATGAATATTCAGACTCAATCAAAAAATTTAGATTCATCATGAATATTCAGATTTATCCAAAAATGTTTTGATTCACTCATAAATATTCATATTCACTTTCTAATATATCTTTTACACTTTACTAGATGTTGGTGTACGTCCTGAAAGGAAAGGAGGTCAACCATTGACAGTAAAGGAACATTTTGTCTTCACCGATGGCAATGGTTTACTTTATCATTTCTTTGTAGAGGGTAATATCATTAAAGATGGTGCAAAAATACCACCTGAGGTAAGGAGCTATATTAAGATCTCTTAGATCACCCATTATTCATCACACATTCACCTCTCATTGATCATCTAAGGTAAGGAACCATATTACTAATAATTAAGGCCCTTTAGCCAACCCAGCATTTATCACAGTCCTCCAACTTACATTGGGCACCAGATGTGAGGAGCTATTAACATTCGGGTCACCTAAGCTCCCCAGTATTTATCACCCATCCACCTCTCATTGGTCACTTGAGATAAGAAGCCATATTCAAAATAATTAAGGCCTTTTAGCCTACCCAGCATTTATCACACACCAAACTTGCATTGAACATCTGAAGTAAAGAGCTATAATAGGGTCCCTTAAGCCACTCAGTATTCAGCAAACATCCTGTTTTCATAGAGTTTTATTAGAACCCCTTATAAAATAATCTGTATAAAAGCTTTTGGCAAAGTTGTATCTGCAGACAATTCTCTCTTAATGGATATATTTTCCTCCAGTGGTGTTGATCTCTATTCTTACTTTACTTCTTCATGCTTTACTGTAACTCAAAGTAATGCATATAGTATAATGAAATCAACTGTTGCATGTGTAATTGTGATTTCAGAGTGGTATGGGAAGTGTGACCTGCATAGCATGGAAGGGAGACACTATTGTCTTGGGAGATGTTGATGGCAATCTTAGTATATGGGATTTGAAAGCTAGAGTTTCAAGGTATGTAGCAGTGGTTGCCAAATAAACTCATCCCTAGCCATCCTTAATGGGGGTGATTGACATGGATATACTTTCGAGAAGGTGCAGTTGCAAGCAGATATTTTGTAATATCAGCTTCATTTGTACTGAACATCTTGATTGTGTATTGTCAAATGTGGAAATCTTTATACACACACAATTAAGCTACAAAATGTAAATTAATAACATTTTGGTAATTCTTTATGCCTTGTCAACTTGCACACACACAGGAAAGCATGCTAACATTTAGTGGTTATAAAATAGTTTTCTGCTGCAGGTGCTCACTTTAAAAACATCTGTTATGAACCTCTATTATACCTAGTATACATGTATCTTGTAATATGTTGAATAGAAAGCTTTAAGCCACTCAGTTGTATCCTTCATTACACTACATTGTGTCAAGGATCCAGAAAATGGTAATATCAAAAGGAACCACCATCATAACTCATCAGATTGAAATATTACCATTTATTACATGACCATGGTGCGCATATCATTCTCTGTAGTGAGGTTTAGTGTGAAATGTACTTTATTTTATTTGAATGGAAAATAGAGGAAAAAAGGTATATTCACTGGATTTTATTTTCATTGAATCATCCATTCAGTGAAAACAAATTATTTTACAGTAACTGATATTTCAGACTTTTTGACGCAAGAGTTGGTCACGTGATAAAAAGGTTATTACCTGCTATCACTTATTTATAGAGCTAGTTGAAATTCATGGTGTCATGGGCTGTATTTTATCTACTCACCTTCAGTTCATGAATGAAACGAGCCTATGACGTCACTTGTTTCATCCAGGTCATCAAGTGATAATGTTACATTCCTTAGAGTAAATTTACCTCTAAGGCTACATCCTAATAACTTGACTGAAATTTCTGTTTACTAGTTTCTTATAATTACAATGTGTGTTCTGATTACATCATCAGGGCTGTACCCACACATAGAGGTTGGATTAAGAAGATTAAGTTTGCACCCGGTAAAGGAAATCATAAACTTATTGTCTTGTATAATGATGGTATGGACATATGGGACACCAAAGATGTGAGTACTTAGCAGCGGATCCAAACATCCTCAGCAAACAATGGCTATAATAAATGTACTACTGACATCCATTGGTTTCATCATCTACACATACCCATCTACCATTTTCAACTTTACGCAACTTTACAGTTTTGGCAAAAATTAGATTCCATGCTTAAAATTCTTCAAATGCGCTCCAATCAGTTACATTACCTAGATAAACATTGCAATTGTCTTTCTTTTTGTACCTGTTGATCTGCACAACCATAAATGTCACCATCTTTGTTAATATGAGATCCCTACGTGTGTCACATGCATGGATGGATGATTTGACAATCACTGCTCTTTAACTCCTTAAGCCCCAATTTTTTTTAGATTCATATAATTTTTTGATATTTTTTTAAATTTTTTTATCAAGACATTTAGCTAGTGCGAAATTATGTCCAAAAATATAAACCATATACATGTATAAGAAAATATGTAAGAACAGGCAAAATGTTGGACCCATAACTATGGAATTCAAACGGGTAATTCATGTTATCGTTAAATTTGTATTAAAATTTGCACCCATTTTTTTTAAGCTTTTGAAACCAAAAAAATTAACTATTTTTCATATGTGTAGATAATAGGAACTCCATCTCCTCTATTGCATTGTACCATTTTAATAGAAGCTGCGACTTCTAAAACAGATTTTACAGTAAATCGTTTTAATTTAGTTTTACAAGACATGGATAATTTCGTAGCATGGTAAATTTGATGGGAGCTCACAGTCACCTTTGTTCAATTTAGTCAATCAATCAACTCATTGTTTCTGGCAGCAAATATTTAATGTTTGACAGTGTTTCTAAAAAGTAAAATTTGACAAAAAATTTGTCCACCAGGTAGAGCAAGTGAGCAGTATTAGAAGCCCTCGGGAGATTGCCAAAATCTCTGATGTCGAGTGGGCAACTTCTGATAAACCAATTGTAGCAACCAATGACTCCTGCATTCGGGTCTTTGAGTTAAACTTGAAAATCAGTTCCGCACCACTGGATGAACTAGCAATTGCAGGTCAGTTCATTGATAGAATTATTGCTCTCTCAATGTGTATTCTCAATCTTTTCACCACCAGTTCCCCATTTTCATCACAAATTCTCAAAATAGTCCTGTTTTCCGCTTCAGACAAAAATAGTAACAAAATTTTATTAAAAACTGAAATTTGACTTTATAAATGTTGTCTATTTGGTCTAAAATTAGAGTTCATTTTCAAAAATATTAAAGAATATATGAAAAAAGTACAGACAAATTTGGGTGGGAAAGTCTGGTGGTGAAAATGTTAACGTGCACAATTTGACACACGTACAATTGTATACAATACAGTGTCAATAAGTAGCAGTAGCTGTAACTATCTATCTTTTTTCTTCAATTTTTATTTTGAATAAAACATTTCCTGTGTCATTTGTATTAGTTTGTAAAGGCCATCAACAAAGTGTGGAAGAGAATGCTGAGAGAACAGCATATACGCTATACATAAATTACTTGCAAGTGAGAAAAGATGGCCATGGGTTTGCATTCAGGTCTTCAGAGGGCGACATCTATCCAGTTTTGTCAAGCGAGCCACATGAATTTTGTAACCATCACTGTCACCATCAAAACAATGAGGTTTTGAGATAGCAGTGGATTAGATTAATCTGTGATCCCAATAACTAACTTAATAAATGGTTAAATATGTTGATGTACTCATGAATCATGTGACTGTATGACAATTTGTTTCCTACTTCAGATCCGCTATTCTGTCCTCATTTATTGCCATCCAAAGCTGCATTAAATATGAAGTATTTACTACAACATCAACCATGGAACACAGAGTATAAACTTCATTTGGATTGCCTGTAAGTTATTTTGTTCAGTGAATCTTGCATTTATTCAGACATACTGACTGTAATATCCATTTCCCCATTCCACATATTAAGTACCGGTACATCGTCTGTGAAAAGCCCTTACATTTTGTGGTTAAGTTTGTCAATATATTGCATTTCATTTGATCATGCTGGTGATAATCACAGCTTGTCATGCAATTTTCCAATCCATATAACCATAAACCTATTTTATCTAAGGTCTATGTTATAACACAATCCAATAATCTAGTGAGTAATCAGTAAGGAGTAATTTGATCAATAAAAATCTGCTTTTTAGGTGAAGTAATTTCATGTATTAGTGTTTATTATGCTGGAGTATGTGAAACGAGGTTGGTTGCCCAGCTGTAAGACTGAGTAGCACTTATGCTACAATTCTCTGTACCCCGGCACCTCAAATACAAACATTCACGTCTTAGGAACGTTTTCACTGTGTTTTGCATTTGCCGTTGTTGATCGACCTCACAAGTCACGAGTCACAAGCCAAAAACATCAGTCTGAAACTTTTATTATATATTTCCCACAATTGATGTAAATTTAAATGATCAAATATTTCACATAATAGTTCCAAGACTCCAATATATACAGCACTATGAATGCTTTCAGAGTGTAAGGTAGATTGTTTATCGAATAATTTTGATGATTTTTGCCCTACTACATATACTGATTAAAAGTTGGATATCTAGAGAATAAAAAATGAAAATATGAAAAATCATATTTTACTGCATTTGTCATGTTGTTAGCCACGACATACCCTTTCCCAAGTTCAGATTAACATACAGGGAATCTATATGTCTACATTTATGTATGTACAGGGGTACATTACTTGGGGTTTGTAACTACGGTGACATGATACCAAGATCCCGTCACAATCTCGCTCTCGCATAAGCGTTCCAATTCAGAAAAATGCGGATGCGCATGCCCGAGGTAACTAGGATACTGGAATGTCCAGGTGGATCAAAATAGCTGCCCACGATATGACGGATTACGAGAACTATATTTTCTGTACATTTTCGATGTATTACATTTTTCACTATGATAGTGACAAGAAAAGTTTATTTTTTCATTACAAACCTTGAACATTGATATATATCATGTCAGAAGGTCGTAGCCTCAGTCTCGCTATCTATGAGAAGAGACTTGAATGGGATCTTGACATGATGTCACCATACAGTACTATGCGAGTTGCAAACCATAAGTAATATACCTCTGGTATGTATTATTAATCTTTTCACCACCAGTTCCCTCTTTTCATCACAAATTCTCAAAATAGTCTTGTTTATAGTCTGCACTTTCCTTCAGAAGAATGAGACAAAAATAGACGCATTTGTTGAGTAAAAAGTGAAAATTGACTCAAATTTTGTCTGTTGGCTTCAAAATTAGGGTTTAATTCCAGAAATAGTAAAGAATATAAGAAATTACTGGGTAGTGCAGAAAAATTTGGGCAAGAAAGTCTGGTGGTGAAAATGGTTAAGACCTGCAATAATTACATGCTCTTTATGGCTATATTTGTTTCAGATCTGTGTTTGTCATTCTCCACTTTTGTACTTACTTGCTAAAATCTTTCACACAGCTCAAAAACATGATTTTTTTTCCATTTTCCCACTATGTGTCGCTGATGTGTTTTTTTCTCACCGGCCAAATACAGGTCCAAGTAAGTAGTTCCTCCATGCTACACTATATCTATCATTACTCTTTCCATTATCATCAAACCACCCTATCTGCCAGACACTGACCAAACCAGGCCGGCCGCTTAGAACTTGTACTCATGCACACCATAATTTATAACACTAATATTTCACAGTAAAATATAATAATTTGTGAGGTTGTTACTAACAAGA